CATCCCATGAATTCCACCGCAAATATTCCGCATAGCAGCACAAGTCTGCGCCAAACGCAGACTGAAATCAGTTCGCATTCGTCTATGACGACGACACGACACGCGGAAAGATGAACGGTGCCAAGGGCGAAGACGATGAGGCGCAAGTCGTCTCCTCGAACCACCAACCAGAACGCGCACCAGCAACCACACCACCACCGCAGCAGCAGCAGCAGCAGCAGCAGCAGCAGCAGAAGAGGAAAGGCAAGAGGAATATGAAGACGGCGACCAAGGAGCAAGGCGTGCTCGAGATTGACAGCGATCGCGGTGGTGAACATGGAGTTGCAGTGTCATCGTCGCCGGCGGCCGAGATTGTGAAGCGGCTGGAAACAGAGGGGCGTGATGCTCGCAATCTGGCCACGTGGTCGCTGCCAAATGATGCTGCGCTCGCATACAGCCACAGCCACGGCAGCAACGAGGAAGCAGGGACAGCGCATTCTGAGGACGCCTCGCTTGGTTCGCGTCGCCCTTCGTCACGTGAGCGCACCTCCACCCCAAAGCGGAACAAGAAGAAGCGCGGCAACATTCGGCTCGTGTCGACCCACGGCGACGTTGCCGCCGCTGTTGTCGCCGGTGACGCGGGCGTGTCAGCCCAGCGCGACACAGCCACCCCCGCCGCCGACTCGGAGAACAGCGACGCCGAGTTGCAAGGTGCGTGCATGTGCTTGTTTGCGGAATGACAGCAGTGTGGCTCTTTGTGTCGTGTGGTGTCGTTTCACGTGTGTCCTGTTACTTTGCTGGTTGCCACGAGACTGGAAATACAAGCCATAGTGCGTGCATCGACATGTACGACTCCCTGTATTGCCAATCTCACACGTGTCCATGCCAACAGAGCGCGTGGCAGCGAAGCGACAGGCCTTTTCCCGCTCCAACAAGTCCGTGTCGCGCACCTCCATCGCCACGGTCGATTCCGACGACCAAAGCGTCACATCCTTGACCGCTTCAACCACCACAAGCAAGGTGTGTGTGTGTGTGTGTGTGTGAAGGAGGAGGAGCTTGTGTTTATTTCACAACCGCTTGACGGCTTTGCTCAGTTAGCTTGTGCTGTGCACTCACGTCATCGCCGCTTCTTCCACCACCTCACCCAACATGGCTGTGGTCACGTGCAGGGCGGGTTGAAGGCGCGGTACTGGCGGTATTTGTTTGACAACCTCAACCGCGCGGTGGACGAGCTGTATCTCACGTGCGAAATGGACGAGAGCCAGATTGAGTGCGAAGAAGTCATCATGATCCTTACAAACGCAAAGGTGCTTTGGGTGTCAATTGGTGCGTGTGTGCATATGTGCATGCGTATGTGTGCGTGTGTGTTATATGTGCATTCGCACTTTGCTGATTGTTGATTGTTCGCGTGTTACATGACTCCATCAACGCACCACAACAACCATCCCCACCACCATCACAACCACCACTTCCAGCGCGACTTTGAGGCTCTGATCCGGAGGTTCCGGGTGCAGGCCTCCTTCGAGGACGCCCCGCCAGGCCTCGCCCCAGCCGTCGCATGGGAAATCAGAAAGGTACAATGATGTGTGTGTGTGTGTGTGTGTGTGTGTGTGTGTGTGTGTATGTATGTGTGTATGTGTGTGTGTGTGTGTACGTTGCAGTGTTTGCGTCATGCTGGAGTCGAGCACGTGCGTCATCCCCGAAGCAAACCGCGATTGTATTGTTGCTACTCACACGTCATCTCACGTGATTGTATTGTTGCGTGCGCGTGCTTGTGCGTGTGTGTTTTTGCCTTTTCCAGGTGACGCAGCCCACGCCCGTCGTCCCGCTTCCCCTTGACGGTTCGTCCATCCCAACTTGACATTCTTCGCAACAGCTTGCTTGCACACGCAAACACCCACGCAAACACACACATATGCGCACACACATATATGCGCGCGCAGACACACACACACACACGTGTGACCCCGTCTTGTGTGCGTGTTGTATGATTGTTGCAGGCTCTCGGTCGATGAACGATTCCCAGGACCGCACCCTCATGGAAGGTCGTGACGATGATGACACGGAATTGTGCACGTTGTGCAATGTTGTGTAGGTCTTCTGTATGCACATATTGCGCAAACACACACACACACACACACACACACACACACACAAACACTCACACACATGCACACCCACCCACACACACACACACACACTGCACATGTATGCGCTGCAGAGAGCCTGGCGCAGCTGCGAACACCGCCACGCCGCGCCAACGGGCGATTCGATGCGTTTTTAGTGGCTGGAGCCGACGCGACGCAGTCGTATTTGAATATGGCGGCAGCGTCAACCACAGCCAACAGCACAGGTGCACAGTACAACAACAATGACAACACTAACAACAATGACAACAACCACGACAACAAAGACAACCACGACAACAACGACGACTCGACACACACCCTCGCCACCGCTGCCGATGAAAGCCCCTCCCGCCTCAACAAGTCAGGTCAGTCGGTTGGCCACTGCTGGTGCTTATTGGTGCTGTGAAGACAAACACCGATGTCATTGTCCTCGTTATCCGCATGTTACCTTCACCCCGTCTTCTGATCCATTCCCGCTGTCAATTGCCCTCGTATTCACGTCCCCCCTCCTCGCCAGTGACGTCGCTGGACGACTCGTCGTACCTGTACGAGCTCGAGTCACGGGAGCCCGGCAGCGGAGCCATGCTACACCATCGCCTCAGCTCGCCCTCGCGCAAGAAGAGCGTCGACACCATCGAGAAGGAGCTGCGGGAGCGACAGCGGCGTGCGCAGATGAATCGGCGACAGCACCAGCAGCGGCTGACACGCAGGCTGCAGCAGCAGCACGACAAGGTGGTGAAGGTCCGTGGCCGTCGGGAGGAGCGGGAGGAGCAGCGGAAACAGGACATTGAGGAGCGTTTGTCGCGCGCAGAACGACTGCGGCAGTCGTACCTGGACGAGGTGCGGCGGCGCAACAGGGAGGAGGACATCAAGACGCGCGAGGTTGCGTTTATCCAGCGGCTGGAGGAGGACAGCAAGCGGCGGGCGGTGCTTGCACGCATCGAGCACGAGGAAGCACGATTGCAGCGGCGCATTCTTGAGCGCCGGCAGAAGATGGAGGAGAACGCACGGCGGCAGGCGGCGGTGCAGCAGCGCCGGGAAGAGATGGACAGCATGCGACGGGCGCGACTCAAGGAGAGGGATCGGGCGTGGAAGCAGCGCGTGGAGAGCATTGAACGCGACAAGCACCGGCGCTCGCTCAGCAGGTCAATGAGCAGGTCAGCCAGCCGCACCCGTGGCAGTACGGGTGGCGGTGGTGGTGGTTTGGACGGCAGCCGTAGTGGCCGGAGAACTATGGCAGCAATTGGCGACGATGATGATGATGGTGGTGATGATGATGATGATGGTGGTGATGATGATGTGGACATGATGGAGGAGGAGGAGGAGGAGGTGATCGAACACCGCCGTCACCACCGTCACCACGACGACGAAGACAAGGATGGTGGTGACCACATGAGACGGCGCCACCCGAATCACCTGTCGACCATCAGTACCAACAACAGCAGCGGCAAGAAGAGTAACAAGAAGGGCAACAAGAAGAACGGGAGCAACAGGACCAACGCGACCGCTGCCACCACTACGGTCCTGTCCTCATCTGCGCCATCGCTGCGGGTTCGGCCAAAATCGGCCTCATATGCCGCCCGCGCTGCCACCACCCGCACACACGCACACGGCGCACCATCGTCGTCATCGACAGCGGCAGCAGCAGCCAGAGCACCAGCAGCGGCTGGGGATGGTGCTGGTGAAGTGGTGCGGCGGCAGCAGCGACCACGCACATCCGCCGGTATCGTGCGCACGACAACCAAGCAGCAGCAGCAGCAGCAGCAGGAGGAGGAGGAGGAGGGCCGATACGGGGATGGCAGTCGTGGTGGTGCTGTGGAGGCGGAGTACGCGGGATGTGTGAAGAAGAACAGCAACGGGACCAGCGCCAGCAAGCGGAGGACGAAAAACAAACAGCAGCAGAAGCGAAAGCACAAGACAAAGAAGCAGCAGCAGCATCAGAACCACCATGGAACATCTGAGGTGATGGTGGTGCGTGGTGACGACAGTGTGGTGAGCGAGGTGCTGGCGCTGGGTCATGACAGCAGCGGCATCAGTGACAGCGGTCGAGACAAAGACAAGCGCGCTTGGGATGAGGGTGGTGATGGTGGTGGTGGTGCCAACGACGATGGTGATGGTGATGCTGGGGGAGGGTGGCAGCAGCCGTCGCGCAGGCGCCGGTGTCGGGTGCGGTATGTGACGGACAGCGACGTCATTGCCGACTCACAGCTCGATGATGACGATGACGATGGTCATGGTGACGATGGTCATGGGGATGGTGATGGTGATGGTGATGCGGATGAGAGTGCACAGCATGCTGGCCAGGACTCCACCGACAGCAAACACCACCAGCAGCAACAGCAGCAGCGACAGCGGGAAAACCAAGCGGGCGATGGTGGCGACGATGACAAGCAAGCGGACAAGCGGGGCCCGCAGCACCACAAGCACGGGAGCAAGAAGAAGAAGCAAAAGCAGAAGCAGAAGCAGCAACAGAAGCAGCAACAGAAGCAGCAGCGTGATGTCGACAGCAGCAGGGCTGAGAACACAACCCCAGCCAAGCAGCAATCGCCTCACGACGTGGCAGAAGCAAGCAGGTGCAGACGTGTGTGTGTGTGCGCGCGAGTGTGTGTGTGTCTGTGTGTGCGTGTGCGTGTGTGCGTGTCTGTGGTGTGCTGTGGTGGTGTTGTGTATTCGCTGTTGTCACGCCTTGAAGGGAATTGGGTTCTTCCTCGTCATTATGTTCACGCGCTGTTGTTTGCTGCCATCGTCGTTGCGTGCAACAGACAAGCCCTGATGGAGCGTCATCGAGATGCCATCAAGCAGCGGCTGGCCCTCCACCCGTCCCCATCATCGCCATCATCGCCATCATCGCGGTCGTCTTGCCCACGTGCTGCGGGCGGTGGTTGCAGAGGCGACGAGCGACAAGAAGGAGGTGGGCATGCTCTAATTTCCCGTCTTGCTGTTTGCTGTTCAACCACACACACACACACACACACACACACACACACACACACACACACACACACACACACACACACACACACACACACACACACACACACACACACACACACACACACACACACACACCATTCAGCCATCATCCATCCGCTCATCTCCACCCCACGCCTCCCCTCCCCTGCACTCGACAACACGCCACCAGACTGTGGTTGCGAGCGTGGAGCACGCGGTGCAGCAGCTGCACCTGCTGGCGCACGAGGGAGCGGGCCCAACAGCGGCGTCACAACCGCAGGACGTGGCTGCACTCGTGCACATGTGCACCACCGCCCTCGCTGTTGGTGTCGCCCACCAGGAAGACGTCACAATCACCGCCCTCAGCACCATCGCGTCCATGTGCGCCGACACGTGGGCACATTGCCTGCAGGCAACCGCGTCCCCCTCATCCGCGTCGACTGCGTCAGCACCATCCTCGTCCACAGCACCAGGGCAGCCGGTGCTGAAGAACGAGGTGCGTCCAGCGCACACAGCAGCGCCATCCACGTCGGACGAACAGCGGGCGGCGGAGTGCGCTCTCGCAGTGTGCAACAGCAGCAGCAGCGATGGTGGTGTTGGTGGCGTCGTTGCGTTGGCGGACACGCTGGTGGCTGCCTTGGCACGGCGAAGGGTTCGGGGAGAGGGACAACAAGCAGATGCCAACAACACGGGCAAGAAGAAGAAGCAGAACAATGGTGACAAAACCAAGCAGCAGCAGCACCAACAGCATCAACAGCATCATCATCAGCAGCAGCGGAAGGGTGGCAAGCGGCGGCACATGTACAAGAAAGGAGGCCACAACAAACAACAACAACAGCAGCAGCAGCAGCAGCAGGAAGGAGGGCCGCGTCCACTGCGGGCGGAAGCGGTGACGCGTGATGGTGATCCAGACCTCGTCATCATCTCAGCGTGCTCGTCTCTCCTCTCCTCCATCATCGAGGGCCTGGCATGTGCAGTGCACACCGCTCAACCCCAACATGGCAATCGTGGCGATGACGATGGGACACGCGAGCGTGTGGGTGCGGTGTCAGCGCCACGGCGGCCGCCACCTGCGTGCTTGTTGGCCAACCTGTGCTCGCTGCTGCTGAGCTGCGATCTGATGCGCGCGAGCGCAGGATGGGTGTCGCGCCTCCGCCATCCCATCTCCACCGATGTGCTGCTGGCCCTGTCCGCCCTCACCCGCCTCACAGCAGCACTCCTCAGGTTAGTGGATGCAATGGGCTTGTAGGAAGGGAACGGGGAGGAGAAGGGGAGAAGGAGAGAAGAGGGGAAAGGGGTGAAGAAGAGGGTAAGAGAAGGACGTCGACGGACCAGTGTTGTTGCTTTGTACGTCTTTGTCCACGTGTTGACAGCTGCCAAAGTACACCACTCCGATTTCTAACCGCTCAAACGCCCCCCGTCCGTGGTCCGTTTTTGATTTTCAGGCACTCCACCGAGCCATCCACTGCTGCCAGTGGCAATGGCAGTGGTGACGGCGACGGTGTGGGTGTGGATGAGATGTCTGCGTGTCGACTGTATGTTGAGTCGGGCTGTGCCGGCCACTTTGCGCTCCTTGCCGTGTGCACTCCGCCCCTCACATCTCCGCGCAAACACAGCACACGACAGGTGTGTGTGTGTGTGTGTGTGTGTGTGTGTGTGTGTGTGTGTGCGTGCGTGAGTGTGTGTGTGTGTGTGATTTTCTTTCTTTTGTGTGAGGGTGTGTTTGCCTTTCTTTCTTTTGTGTGCGCGCGGTTCTAGCAATGTGTGCGTGTGGGTCATTCCCTTGCGGTTTCGCCATCTTATCCTTGCATGGTTTTGTCGCTGAATGCATGCCATTGCACCAATTTCGCCCCCAGCCGCCGCCACCGCCACAGCACCAGGCGCCATCCCAAGCCCTCTTCCTGCTGCTAGGTGAACACCTGTCATCAACACATGCGCTGGTGGTTCCGTGTTTTGTTTCACTCTGTCTGATATTGCTCGCACGCGAACGTGTGCACACGTTTGCTCTGTCGTACTCACACATGCGTGCACACACGCACGCACACACACACACACACACACACATGCACACACACGTACATGCACATGCACACATGTCAGCGCGCCATGTGCTGGGCGGACTCAATGCACTGGCCAGAAGCAATGGCGATGTATTTCTGGTGCGACCACAGCATGGCATACACCACACGACACGTTGCATATGCCCGCGCGTTGCTGCACATGCCCGTTCTGCTCGTTGAATCAATGAAGCACAACTGATATACTGTCTTTTGCACCCAATCCTGTGTGTTCTGACCACCACCGCCACCATCACAACAGGCTGTTACGGCGGAGGTTGATGCCTGGGCCGCCCTCGTGCACACGCTCGCTCACGTACTCAGGTGCGCTGTTGCATGAACATGTGCATGTATGTATGTATGTATGTATGTATGTATGTATGTATGTATGTATGTATGTATGTATGTATGTATGTATGTATGTATGTATGTATGTATGTATGTATGTATGTATGTATGTATGTATGCATGTGTGCATGTATGTGTGTGAGTGAGTCAGTGAGGAGAGAGGAAGCAACGGTGATTCGTCATTCATATGCACTTGACACCTGACACACACACACACACACACACACACACACACATTTCCACACACACACACTCACACATACACACATACACACATACACACACACACAGGGAGAGCCAATCAACAACGCACCACGACGATGTGGTGGTTGAGGCGCTTGATTGCATTGCGCAGTTGTGTTTCTTGTCGCCGTCCAACCAGGACCGCATGGTTGGACTCGGCGCCACCGCCATGCTGCCCCTCATCTGCAGCCTCCCCATCCGCTTCTTCACCGCGCACAACCACGCAACGTCAGCGCTCAGTTCTGCACGTGTGCACATGTGTGTGTGCATGTGTGCATGTGTGCATGTATCTGCGGTCTTGTGTTTGTGATGTGTTGAGCCTCTGTGACCATGTGCCACAACCTCACAAATCCATGCATGTCTTGTTCTTCTCCCCCGTCCCCCAACACACACGCACGCACACTCTGCCGCGACGACCATGACCATGATCAGCAATGCCATGTTCCGAGCGCTGGTTGCGGTGTGCGTGGACAACGAGGCGGCGACGCGTGCGCTAACGTTTGAGATGGCGCCAGACCTCTTGGTCGAGCACTTCATGCAACACGGCGACCACAGCGACAATGACGTTGGCGGTACGTGCGTGAACGTGTGGCTGGTGCATAAGGCGTTTGCTTGTTGGACCTTGCTTGACCTACTTCCTTGCCTCACCCTTTTATGTTGCTTGCCACACTTGTCTCGTTAGACGCTCGGTATCGTCTCACGTCGGAGCAGCGCGACCGCGCACTCGCCCACTTCTCGCAGTGGACGACGTAGCATGTGCTCTGTGTGATGCTTATTCTCCGCATGCACGCACACACGCACACACACACGCACCCAACACACACGCCAACCCCAACACGCAAAGATGCCTCGGAAACATGATTAAAGATATTCGCAATATTTCTGCGTTGGGGGAAAACGGAAAGGACGAGGAGTGAAAGGCGTTGCTGTGTTGTTTGGCGTGTTGCTTCGCTGTGCCTGCCATTTGCGTGCGATTGGGGCGTTGGGTTGTGGTCTGCGGCGGTGTCTGCCACCAAGCAAGCAAGCAAGCAAGGTCTCTCGTCGTGTTCCCCACCTCCTCTTCCACTTCCTCCCGCCACTCCTCACTCTTTCGTTCTCGCGGGGAGCAGACTGAGGAGCTGTAACCCAGACCGCGTGGCAGCACTGAGTGAGTTGCCCTTCTGTTCTCTCGCACGCGCGTTGTTTGTGTGATTGAGTGTGTTGCTTCCACCTTGTTGCTGTTGCACCACCCAAGACAACGACAAATGCGTTTGTATGTGTGTGTGTGTGTGTACGACTTGTGTGTGTGTGTGTGTGTGTGCGTGAACGACTTGTGTGTGTGTGTGTGTGTGTGTGTGTGTGTGCACGACTTGTGCGTGTGTGTGTGCGTAAGTTTGTGTTCAGGACGTGTGGGCATTGCCCTCTGTCTGCTCGCTTGCGTTGTTTGCTGCCCTGCACTGTCTTCACGTATGTACACACGCACACGTATTCGCATGTCTTCTCCTTAGTCCATGAGTCCTTCGCAGCTCAAACCCGTGTTCACGTCCACCCCGTGTCTCCTTTGCACCCGCGTCTACACCTCAACACAACTGCAAGGCAGTCGTTTGTTTGTTGTGCACGCGAACCCGCTGCTCAACCACGGCACACACACACACACACACACACACACACACACACACACACACACACACACACCGTTGCACCAGCGCAATGAGTGAAGGGACGGTCAGCGCCTTGCTGGAGGCGTCCGCGTGGCAGTCCCAGCTCTCCACCACAGGCGCGAGCCAGACAACCGCGCACCCTGCACATCACGCGAGACCACAGGATGCCTCCCTCAACAGCTTTGTTGCCACGGAGCGGCGCTTGCTCTCACAACCTCCCCAAGACAGCCCGCGCACGCCACACACACAGACAGGTGGTGGTGGTGGTGGAGGTGGTGGTGATGTTAGTGGTGAGGATGGTAACCACCGCCAGCACCTGCCCAAACACCGTCCACACCTCTACCACCATGACGGCCACAGCGCACTCTTTCGCGACGTTGTGATGGGCAACCACGACAGGGAACAACAACCGCCACCTGAAACAACTACACACCGGCACGGCGTGCACGATGTCCCTCACGTTGGTGGCACTGCACCTCGCATCAACAGCAACAGCACCAGCAACAGCAACAGCAACGCCGTTGGTGACGGAGCACTATCAAGCACACGCATGGACAGGCGCCACGACGACCACCACGACCACCACCACGGTCAAAGCCGGAATGGCATCAACGCGAACGACACACACGGCACAACCACGCTATCGTTGGCGGAGTGGCACATGTCCCAGGTGAGCGACATTGCGGCAGAGTCCCCGCCACCGTTGCCGTCGTTCAGCACGCCGAGCAGCAGCCTGGCGACGAGCCAACAGGCCACGCCACCACCAACATCGGCACACATGACAGCAGCAGGTGAAGGTCGTCACCACGCAATCACGCACAGCGCGAGTGGGCTGAGAGAGGGGCGCACATATGCCAGCCATGACGGCGAGCACCAGCAACAGCACCAACATGCACACGCGCCTGCACCAGAACCACCGCTGCCATCTGTGGGCGGGTCTTCCGCAGCAAACGCAGCACGTGCGATGATGCCAGCAGGGGCGACCACAGGTGGGTCTCGGTTGCCGCGCCCCGCATCCACCGACAACGTCACGTCAATGCAGCCGCTCTCGGGCACCAGTGGAGGAGAGGTGGGTGCCGGGACGGGCAGTGCGTGGCTGCCAACGCATCGACCACACGCGATGGCGAGAGATGGCGATGGTCGTGGACGTGATGACAGGCAGGCTGGAGTGGCAGCGTCACAACGCGAACAACGCGGGCGTGGCTGGCACGAGCAAACACACCAGCGTCTGCAGTCACAACAGGGACCGGGTCAGCCACCCCACGACCACATGCGCGACCGAGGACAGCACCACGGCGACGGGGATGACGAGGAGCAAGGTGCCGGTCACCAACAACAACAACAACAACAACAACAACAACAACAACAACAACAACAACAACAACAACAACAACAACAACAACAACAACAACAACAGCGTGCCGACATGGCGATGATGATGCTGCTTGGACGTGACGAGCTGTCCATGATCCCGCGATCGGCGCCATCGTCGTCCTCTGTGTGTGAGAGCGCGGTGTCGACCGATGCAGAGAGTGTTGGCTTCACCACCCGGAATCGTGGCGGTGACAATGGCGGTGACAATGGCGGTGATGGTGCTCGTGATGATGCGAAGCAGAACCACCCCACCACAGCCACCACAGGCAACCACAATGAAAACACCCACACCCACACCAACACTGACACCAACACTCACACAAGCAGTAGCGGTAGAGCACATGGCAATGACGCCAGCACAGCTGCGAGTGCGAGCAGGGTGCTGCGGCTGTTGAAGACATCATCGGGTGTTGAAGCACCAGCGGCAACAGACTCCCTGCCCGTGCTCGGGGTCAACGGACACACGCGCCCAAACAGCCGCGATGGTGACGAAGATGATGATGGCGGTGATGGTGATGGCTTTGACGATGGCACTGGTGTCGATGCGCGCGACCGCCGCCGCACGTGGAGCCGTCATCCAACGGCGCAGAAACACCGATCCGAGGAACCAAAACCCGCGCAGGGGTGCGTTGTGATGGTGGTCGTGGTGGTATTCGTCCATTGTACTCTGGGTCGTTCTTGTCAGTCGCACATCTGATGCATGCATGCATGCATGCATGTGGCATGTGCTTGGCAGTCCACGCACGTGCCTGCCTCTTGTTGCTGTTGTTGTTGTTGTTGTTGTTGTTGTTGTCGTTGTTGTTGTGGTTGTTGTTGTTGTTGTTGTCGTTGTTGTTGTTGTTGTTGTTATTGTTTTTGTTGTTGTTGTTGTTGTTGTTGTTGTTGTTGTTGTCGTCGTTGTTGTTGTTGTTGTTGTTGTTGTTGTTGTTATTGTTTTTGTTGTTGTTGCTGTTGTTGTTTTTGTTGTTGTTGCTGTTGTTGTTGTTGTTGTTGTTGTTGTTGTGGTGGTGGTTGTTGTTGTTGTTGTTGTTGTTGTTGTTGTTGTTGTTGTTGTTGTTGTTGTTGTTGTTGTTGTTCGGCCATTATTAGCACTTCCTCTGCTTCCCAAGCACCCCTTCACCGCTCACCTTCATTTACCACCACCACCATCATCGCCACCACCATCATCACCATCATCGCCCTCCAGGTGGGCGTCGCGCCGCGCTGCGAGTGATCCGCAGATGCTGGAGCGCTCCCCGAAGAAGAAATTGAAGCGCAAGAAGACCGGATGGGACCGCGTCAAGAGTTTGCGCAGTCTCAGCTCCTGTCTCGGTGTCCTCATCTTCAAGGACAACCCCGTGATCAGGTGATGCGGGCGGGGGAGGCGCACTGTGATGTGTACATACGTGTGTGTGTGTGTGTGTGTGTGTGTGTGTGTGTGTGTGTGTGTGTGTGCGTGCGTGTGTTGTGTGTGTTGTGTGTGTGTGTGTTTGTGATGTGCTCGTCGCCTCTTGCGCGTGCGTGCATGCAAGCATCAGCTGCGCGAAAATTCCACTCCATGCGTTGATCTCACTTTTGCCTGCATGCACGGCATTCCCTTCAGTTTCGTGTCGCGCCAACTGCACAAGTACCTCCTCAACGTCGAAGACGAAATCGAGGTGCGCTTCCCGTGTTCGTTTGTCACGTGTGTGTATGTGTGTGTGTGTGTGCGTGTGTGTGTGTGTGTGCGTGTGCGTGTGCGTGTGTGTGCGATGATGATGATCATGCATGCCCTTCCATCGACCTTCTCCCTGTTCCTCTCGTATTGCCCGGGTTAACCTCTCACCTTTCAAACCCTGCACCACCACCACCACCACCACCACCACCACCACCACCACGACAATCATGATGATCGCGATCGCGCCTGTCCAGGAGGCGACGGGTACGACAAAACTTGGCGCAGTGCTGTTTGCAGACGCATCAGGATTCACTGCAATGACACAGCGCCTCGCAAAGAAGGTGTGTTCGTGTGTGTGTGCGTGTGTGTGTGTGTGTGTTAGTGTGTGTGTGTGCGCGTGTGTGTGTTAGTGTGTGTGTGTGTGCGTGTGTGTATGTGCGTCTGTGTGTGTGTGTGTGTGTGTGCAACGCGTTATTTATTTTGCGTGCCAGCGTCGTGTTCTCACTGCCACTGCCATCATGGTTACCCGCCAGCCGAACGGGGCCGAGGAGCTGAGCCGCATCATCAACAACTTCTTCTCGCGTCTCCTCAAGGTCGTCGATGCGTTCGGCGGCGACGTCGTCAAGGTGCGTGCGTGTGCATAAGTGTGTGCGTGCATGTTTCTGTCTTGCGGTTGCAATGATGTGTATGGCTGCTCAAAACAGCTTTATTTTGTTGCGCTGTTCTTTGTCGTGTCTTCCTCACCACCACCATCACCACCACCATGATATCTGCCCCCCTCCCCTCTGTTGTGCACGTGTGTGCAGTTCTCTGGCGATGCGCTGTCGATCGTGTGGTTCGTGGACGAGGAGGAGAGTGCCCGCACAGAGGGTTACGTCGCCCCCTCGCTCGCCGTCGCAACAATGCGCGCATGCGCCTGCGCACACGAACTCCATCAGGTCCTCGCCTCTTGTGTGTGTGTGTGTGTGTGTGTGTGTGTGTGTGTGTGTGTGTGTGTGTGTGTGTGTGTGTGTGTGTGTGTGTGTGTGCGTCGGGTGTTCACGAATCGAGGCATCTGCGTCTTCACCCTTCCCCACATCCCTTCTCACACTTCCAAATCATCACCACCACCATCACCACCTCCTCCTCCCCCCTTCGCCTCCCAAACGAGCAGAAGCTCGACCAGTACCTGGCGATCAAGGCGACGGCAACCGAGCCAGGTGTGCGGTTGCGGCTGCACATGGGCATCGGCGCGGGCCGGCTCACGTCCGTCCACGTCGGTGGCATCTTCAAGGTAGGCTCGCTCGTGATGGTCCGTGCCGATGGGTGATGGATTACAGTGGTCGTGTTGGTGGTGGTGGTGGTGTTGTTGGTGGTGGTGGTGGTGGGTGATTGGGAGAGCGAAGGGACATGTCATGCTTACATGAAACGTCCTTTCATGTTGCAATGGTGCGTTCACCTCCACTGACCGACCGTACACCTCATCCCATCTCATCGTCCCACCACCACCACCACCACCACCACCACCTCCTCCTCCCACCTACCCTCCCGACCCTCGTCAGCGCTGGGAGTACATCTTGGCTGGTCCGCCCATGACTCAGATTGCCATTGCGGAACCGCTCGCAAAACCGGGCGAGACAGTCATCTCTCCAGAGGCCGCAGAAATTGCCGGAAAAATCATCCAGGTACGTGTTAGCGCGTTGTGTCGTTGTTTTGGTTGTTTTGTGGTTGCGTTTGTGAGTGATGCTTGATGTAATTGGTGGTGGTGCACTTTTCTGTTATCTGCCTGTTGTCGAACACCCCCCCCCACACACACACACGCGCACGCGCGCACATTCACAAATCACACAATCACTTCCCCCCCCATCGCGACCTCAGGGCAAGACGACGATTGGCGCCCTCGCTGACCGCGGGGAGCGTGAGCCGCCAAAGGACCCTGCCCACCGCGCATTTATCCGCATCGACGCCGTGCGCCACATTGACATTCCAAAGGACTACTCCTATCGCCTCCCCGTCAACGAGCAAGTCAATAGACTCATGCGCAGGTCAGCACAGCATGGTGCATGGGTGCGATGGAGTGTTTGACACGTGTTCATGTTATGTGTGTGTCTTGTGTGCGTGCGTATGTGTGTGCGTATCTTGTGTGTCTGTGCGTGCATCTGTGTGCATCTGTGTGCGTGTGCGTGAGTGTACATCTGTGTGTGTGCGTGTGCGTGAGTGTACATAGTATGTGCTTGTTTTCTCCCCTTCTCCAAACGGCTTATATCTCAACCTCCCGCCCCCACCACCTCCTCCCTCTCCTCGGCCTTCAGGTACATCCCGAAAGCGGTGCTGCAGTGTCTGGACGAGAACCAGCCGCCGCAGTCTGAGATGCGCAATGTGTCTGTCATCTTCGTCAACATCCACGGGCTGAAGCTCGAGGTGCCCGCTCCGTCCGGCGACGCCACTGCGCCGAGCCACGACCACCTCGTCAGCAAGGTCGCACAACATGCCGCGGTGATGGGGAAGCGAAGACCGGGGTTGGGCAACAGTACGAGTGGGGGGAGGGAGAGGGGCCACTTGCTTGCTTGCGCTTGTTTGTGTGTGTGTGTGTGTGTGTGTGTGTGTGTGTGTGTGTGTGTGTGTGTGTGTGTGTGTGTGTGTGTGTGTGTGTGTGTGTGTGT